TGGACAATCCTACTTCCGTAGTGATACTGCCTCGGAAACCCAAGGAGGGGTCGCTATGAGTCGGGTTTGACTCAACGGCACGTAACAACAACAACAACATGTTGGCGTGATTCGCCCAAAATTTTTGTTTTCTTTGGATGTGTCTGACTAAGCTCCTCTGCGTGCCAGTTGGCAGCACTAATGCAGTCACCACCTGTCTCCTTTCCAGTCACCAGCCTCCAGTATGTCCGTGCTGTCCTCAGCGAGCGGAGCTGATTCTTAGGTCCCTGGAATGTGGAAGAGAATGCTATTGCTTTAAGTATCCAAAATGGCCACCGCTTGTAAACATTCAAAATGGCTGTGCCCTCTGGACAGCCAAAAGTCCACAGCTCAGTTTATCTCTCATTGCTTCCGTTTTTAGCCACCAGTGCAGTCTTCCATTCATCTCTTGCAAACAGGGCCGAGATTTAGTTTAATTCTCAGGTCCTAACACCACTTGGAAATATTCAGGCTGTTCGTGCCGTCAGGACAGCTGACAGTCCGCAACTCTGTTTGTCTCCTTATACACTGTTTTCATTCAGGTTCTTCTAGTAGTTGGTGCTTACTCCACTTCTGAATCTTTCCTTTCAAAGCTCAGGGCTCCAGGATTATCTTCTGTATCTGTGTCAATTCATTTCTCTTTTCTTTGTTGAAGTAGCTTGTCTGCCTTTTCCACTATCTTACCAGAAGTCCAGGGCTTGAGTCTTTAAAACATCTCCCTCTTGGTGAGTTTGCATAGCCAGGATAGGAAACCGCCCCAGGCAGGCTGTGGTGACCAACCCGGTTTTGCTGTCCCAGCTCACATTCCCCACCCAGATGCATTCCTGGCTCCACTTTGTCAGGTGTCTGGTCTTAAGATCAAAGCCAGGCCTGTTCCAGAAACAAGTTAGACACAGACGGCCTGTCCTGCCTGCAGACCGTGGCCCTGTCCTCCTATCTGGGGTGCAGGGACCCTTACCTGCCTACACATGGTGGCCTGGGCCTCCCATCTGATGAGGTACAGGGGCTCCCTGTCCAGGGGTGTGCTAGAGCCCTCCCTGCCCACCTACAGACGGTGGCCCTGGCCTCTCATCCAAGGTACAGGGGCTCCCTGTCCAGGGACATATTAGAGCCCTTCCTGCCTGCCTACAGACAGAGGTCCCAGACTCCCATCTGAGGTGCCCCCCACCACTGGAGAGGAAAGGGTGAGAGGCTGGAACCCAGGCAGGTCTTGCTGCCACCTCTGCTCTCCACCCCTGAACAAGAGTGTGGTGGTGGAGGACAGGAACTCTCTCAGCCTGCTTCGTTCTCTGACCTGTGACAGTTCCTGGAGGGGATGGCATGTGGTATAGGGGTGGAGTGTGCATTGGGGTGGAGGGGACATTGTGCAGGGACAGGGGAGAAGGTGGAATGAGCGGTCGTGCCCTGGTGCTGCCTGCCGTCTCCCCAGGGAGCACAGACCCCCACGGCTGGTGAAGGAGTCTGGGGGAGTGCGTGCCCTTGGCCGCCACGCCCAGCGTGGAGCTCAGTCTAGGGCAGTGCTAGGTGATTTTCTAGTTGCATTTGAGGAACATCACTAATGTTTTGAGGGGTGTGGGTTGCATCAGCAATTTTTTTTTTTTTTTTTTTTAATTTTTATTGTGATTTGGGTGAAAGTTTACAGAGCAAATTCACTTTCACACAGCAGCTCACGTGCACTCTGTCTCCTGACCCTGACCACAGTTCTGCATCAGCGGCTCTGAGCAGCCCTCTGTAGGAGTCCCCTGCATGTCCTCTCACCTCGGCTGGTCTGGGGGCTTGGTGGCTGGGAGCCCTGTCTCACCCCATCTCAGAATGCCCACTGAGTTCATCTGTTGGGCACAGTGTGTGGAGACCGTGTCCTAGGGCCCTTGAGCCTTGGCCCTGCTGTGCCCTGATGGAGCCGGGCTTCTTGTGCGGGGGCTCCCCCTGCCCTGGCCACCCACTGCCCTCCGTGACCTGCTGCTCAGCATTAAGGCTCCCATGTGCCTGCCCTTCTGCAGTCTTCCTGCAGCCTTCCTCCCACAGAGGGGCAGGTCACTCCTCTGGAGATGTCCTGGCGCTTAGTGTAGTACGTGTGGCCATGGGTTAGTGCCTGACAGTGCTCTGGGCTGGGCTGCTCCGCTGTGTGGGGCATCTTGGAACCCTGTCCTTGAGGAGATGGACACCCACCCTGAGTTTGGGTGCAGAGACCTTCAGGGGCCCAGATCAGGGAGGTGGGAGCTGGGAGATGGATGGCCACACTGAGTTTGCGTGCAGACCCTCAGGGGCCCAGATCGAGGAGGTAGGAGCCAGGGGATGGATACCCACACTAACTTGGGATCACAGAGGAGTCAGACGGGGTATGGCAGCGTCTCCCACCCTGCTTGGCTGTGGTACTGGGCATCCCTGCTGACGTGAGGGGTCCTCATGTCTTCCCAGGGAGCAGAAAGCCAAGAGGAACAGCCAGTGGGTGCCCACCCTGCCCAACAGCTCCCACCATCTGGACGCGGTGCCCTGCTCCACCACCATCAACAGGAACCGCATGGGGCGTGACAAGAAGAGGACCTTCCCTCTCTGGTGAGAGTGCCGTCTGGCTAGCAGGGCCCCCCACACCACCTTAGGACACACTGCTCTCTGACTTGGTCATTCCACAGAGCTGCCCTTGTCCCGGGAGCATCTTCTCTCGGCTTCTGGGCCGTACAGTCGGGCAGTCGGCAGCCTCACGTGTCTGCCTGCCTTCGTCTCTGCTGCCGTCTGCCCCTTGGGATGCTGTCCTGGGCCCTTTTCCCTGCCTTTGGTTTCTCGTGAGATGGCCACGGCCAGTGTGGTGGTTTGAAAGGCCACCTGTGTGACTCGACTGCGGCGGTGTCCGGGGCTGCTGTGACAAACTGCCACAGACTCAGAGGCTTCAACAGCAGATACTTCTTCTCTCGTGATTCTGGGGGCCAGAAGTCTGAGGTGGGGTCACGGGGTCAAGATCAAGGTGTCAGCAGGGCCCTCCTCCCTCCAGAGGTTCTAGAGGAGGATCTGTGTCTTGTTTCTTCCAGCTTCTGGTGGCCCTGTCACTGCCTGTCTGATTGGGACACGTGATGGTGGACCAGGATAACCTCCCCATCCCAAAGTTCTTCCTTGTATCTACAAAGACCTTTCCATTATGTTACCTTTTTCCTTTTGGTGGTGCCACTGAGAGCTCCCAGAGATGAGGTGTGCCCTCTCTCGGGGCCCGTTTATCAGCGCACCACACTCAAATCCCCTCCCCCTGGGCACCATCCTCACACACTCCAATGTCGGCCTGACATCTCTGTTGCCCCAGACTCCCCGTGCTGAGGTGCCAGCTCCAGCCTCCTGGTTGTTTGGGCCCAGAAGCCTGAACTCTGGTTCAGTGGCTGTGTTTTTCTCGTACCACAAGATCTGTCCTTAGCAAGTTCCTGCTGCTCAGCCTTCCTCGTCTCTAGAAGTAGGCTGTTCAGTGCCACCCTTGCTCCTGCCTCCTTGTCCAGCTCCCCGCACTGGTGTCCCAGCTTCACCCTGGTTACCCTCTGTCCATTCTCAGCCCTGCAGCCAGCATGAGCCTCTTAGGCTCAGGGCACATGGCTTCACGCCTCCCCAATGGAAACTTCTCAGAAGCTTATGTCCTTTGGAGAAAGGAGCACAGTCCTCTGGGGCTGTAGGCCCTGCCTGGCCCGTGGTGCAGCTCCCAGCCCTCCTGTGCTCATCAGCCCCACCCCACCTGACACACACCCAGAGGCTCCCACTCTGGGGCTGCAGGCCCTGCCTGGCCCGTGGTGCAGCTCCCAGCCCTCCTGTGCTCATCAGCCCCACCCCACCTGACACACACCCAGAGGCTCCCACTCTGGGGCTGCAGGCCCTGCCTGGCCTGATGATGTAGTTCCTAGCCTTCCTGTGCTCCTCAGCCCCTCCCTGAAGGTTTTTGCTCCAGGCCCAGGCCCTGCTGTAGCTCCAGCCCTCTCCTGTGGTTCAAGTCAGCCCCTCCTGCCTCACACATGCTCCCAGGCACCTTCTCTGGGGCTGCAGGCCCTGCCTGGCCTGATGCTGCAGCTCCCAGCCCTCTCCTGTGGTTCAAGTCAGCCCCTCCTGCCTCCCACATGCTCCCAGGCACCTTCTCTGGGGCTGCAGGCCCTGCCTGGCCTGATGCTGCAGCTCCCAGCCCTCTCCTGTGGTTCAAGTCAGCCCCTCCTGCCTCACACATGCTCCCAGGCACCTTCTCTGGGGCTGCAGGCCCTGCCTGGCCTGATGCTGCAGCTCCCAGCCCTCTCCCTGCTTCAGCATGTCGGCCCCTCCTGCCTCACTCACACCCAGAGGCTCCTGCACAGGTCCGCCCACCCCATGCCATTCACTCAGCCTTGAGCTTGCACTGCGCCCAGGGGTGCCTGTCTTGCCAGTTCTTCCTTAGGAAAGCTGGCCCCTCAGGCTCCAGCGCTGTGCCACCTGCCTGCTTCATGCCCTGGGCTGAGCTGCTCCGCTGGTGTCCAGCACGTGGCATGCTGCATTTGCCATCTGTTTCCCACACTCTCTGAGGCCAGTTCTCAGCCCTCCTTATCCCGCCAATACCCTTAGGTTAACTCCTCTCTTCTTCCTGACTAACCTGCTGCTTCCAATCTTTCTTCCTGTTCTTCTTGAGATACAGATGTGGTCCATCATTTCCTTGTTTGTTATCCTTCCTAAAATACGGATGTGGGCTGTCATTTCTTCGTTTGGGATCCTTCCTGAAATGCAGATATGTTCCTGTCTCTTTCTCATTCAGGGCCCTTTGTGAAATACAGATGTGTGTCTCTTCCTTGTTCAGGAGCCTTCCTGAAATACGGACATCATCCACCATTTCCTCTTTCAGAACGTATATGGGGCTCCATCAGGTGGAGCGGGGTCTTCATTGGAGATGAGCACCGGCCGCCTTGTGGCTCCGTGTGGCTTTCTAGCAGCATCCACAGCCTGTCCTCCTCCATGGTTGGCTCTGTTCCCTCAGCACCCCTCTGTTTCCCTGACTTCTGCCCTTGGCTGAGCAACTGACTTTTCTGTGATGCTCTTTCCTGGCTTTCTGTGCTGGTCTGTCTCCCTCGCAGCTAAGTCCCCTGCCTTCTGAGCGCATCTGGACCCCCTCCCTCTGCCCATGTCAGCAGCATCCTCTCCATGCCCCGTGTGTCTGGAGCAGCCTGCCACAGCAGCACTTACCAGACAGGCTGCCCGTGGTCACTGTGGCCCTGCCCCGTAAGATGTGCTTGGGGCCTGTGAAGCACATCTCTGACAAGTGCTGTCCTCGGCCAGGTCTCTGGGGACTAGCGGCATTAGAGGGAGCCTGAAAGTGCACATCTGCAGGGGCCAGGGCAGCAGCACCGCGGTACTTTCCTGAGTGGTCCCTGTGCCGAATGACATTGCCGTCTCACTTCCAGCTTTGACGACCATGACCCCGCCGTCATCCATGAGAATGCCTCACAGCCTGAGGTGCTGGTCCCCATCCGACTGGACATGGAGATTGATGGGCAGAAGCTGCGGGACGCCTTCACCTGGAACATGAATGGTACGTGGGAGTTTGGCTGCAGGCCCAGAGCCGGCCACCATGGTTCTGGTGTGGACCAGCCCCTCTCAAGCCCTGTCCGTCATTCTGGACTCTGAACAAGACTTTCAAAGAGCTGTGGCCTAGCTCTCTGCAGGGTATGGATTCTGGGTTTCAGTCCTGGTTCTTCCTGGTTCTCGGGGGCTGGGTACGTGAGCCTCACTTTCCTTCCTTACCATATAGGGCTGTTGAGGCGTGGCCAGCCGCCCACCCTCCTGGCTCAGACGAGGGCAGTGGTGCTGCCCCACCTGGGCTCAGCCGCCTGGCCCTTCACACACAGCCCTCAGCCACGTCGGCCCCTGCTCTTCATCAGTGATGCCGCACACGTGGCTTCCCGCCCAGTGCTGCCCTTGGTGGGAGGGCCTCCCCTGCTCCTTGGTGTCGTCCTCTTTGCACCCCTTCCCCCCTCTGCGTCCGGGCTCAGGTGCCGCGTCCCAGCTCCTCCCAGGCTCGCAGAGTCCGTGGGTGACTGTGCGTGTGGATGTCCAGCAGCAGAGTGAGAGGCTGTGGGCCTCGTCCCATCCAGGAAGGAGGCTCGTGGGGGGCTTTCCCTTTCTTCTTGGTTTTTATCCTGAATCTTTCAGACGTTCCAGGCAGTATCAGTTTCCAATGAACAAAAGTTTACAGTCACCAGAATCTATGCACCCCAATAGTATCAGCACACTGGGGTGCAAAACCTCAGCAGTTTTGCACATTTCCCACTGGCTATGTTCTCATACAAGCATTGAATGTGGTTATCATTACTGTGCAGGTATCATTTTGTTTTTCTTCATGGAAGCATTGCCTTGCAGTGTTTTCCACCGAATCGAAGTCTCCTAACGTCCTTCTGACATTGGACACTTCTACGCAGACGATCCGCTTGCATACAGCAGTGTTTCCCGAGCAGGGATTTTCTGAGGGAGTGTGTGTGGTCGCTGCCCTATGGTGGGTTGGGCGTCCTGGAGGGACCTGGGCTTCCCCTGGCTGTCCCTGGGCTCCTCGTGTCTCCACCCGGGAGGCTCGGCTTCTTTGTGATCTTCCCTGTCCTCGTCGCGAGGGCTGGGATCTGAGTACCGTGAATACTCAGCTTCCACTGACCAGCGTTTCGCTGGCTGTTTCTCACGGGGTCCTTGTGGAAGACGTCATCCCACACAGAATGGACTCTGGAGGCATCCCTTCTTGGGGAGCTGGATGACGGAGTTCTGCAGTCCTTCCCTTGCCCAGGGTGCTGTTTAGAGGGTCTAGAGTGACGATTCTGGACTGCTGCCTAGGAGACCGTACCCTGGCTGTAGTGGTTAAGAGTGTGACTGGGTTGCTTTTGACATTGGGGTTTTAGTCATACGCATTCACTTTGAAACTTCAAGTAACCTTAGAGGTGGGTGTGAGAGCCTTTATCCCAAAGGGGAAAGGCCTGCAGACTGAAATGGCTCTCGTTGAACGCGTGAATGGATGGTATGTCCTTCAGGTGACCCCTCATAGCTAGGATTTGTGTCAAGCTTTTGGCAGCGTTTGGTTGGCAGTGAGTTGGCGGCTCTTTCCCCTGGAAAGGCCTGGAAATGGAGCCTATCTGAGTTGCTTGAGAATATGGTGCCAAGTGCCATCACAGTCACCTGAGCTTGAGGGAGCGTTAACGTTGTGCAGAAAGGAGGAGCTGCTTTGCAGGAACGTGTGCCTGCGGTTCACCTACCTGCCCACGTAGACACCTTCACCCAGAAGGGGCATGGGGACACCCAGGGGAGGGCAAAGCTGCCTTGGGAAGGGATTTGGGTTCTCTCCCAGCAACAGGCAAGAAGCTGATCAGGCCCCCCAGGGGTCTACACCGCAGGACGTGGCTACAGAAGGCAAGTTACTAGAGACTGGTATCCACATGCTCACCTTGGATGCTTAAATAAAGCTAAATGACGCCTTCAAGAAGCAGAGTGTATGCCCAAACAGGATAAACTGAAAGAAATCCATGCCGAGACATAATTAAACTTCTGAAAACAAAACACAGCAAAAATCCTGAGCACAGCCAGAGAAGAAGGACGTCTTACCTGCAGGGTCAACAATTGGAATCACAGCAGATTTGTCATCGGAAGGCCTGGAGGCCAGAAGAAGTGCCACGCTGTTGTTCAGACGTTGAAAGTAAAGAATGTTGATCCAGAATCCGATACCCCGTGCAGATATCCTTCAGGAGTGAAGGGGAAATCAGGTACTTCTCCGATGAAGGGGAGCTAAGACACGGCATGACCAACAACTTCCCCTGAAGAACGGCTGAAGGAGGGGAAATGATGAGGGAAGGAGCCTTGGAAGGTCAGGGAGGAAGAGCATGAAGGGCATAACCAAGAGTGCCTCTAACTGTTCTCCTTCCCTTCAGTTTCCTAAAGTTAGATGATTAAGAGAGAAAATTACAACATCATCTGTGATTCTGCACACATAACTGGGAGGACAGTTATAAGTGGGGACACGTCAAGGGACATAAAGGGAGGTGAAGTGTGTACACTTTACTTGAAGTTAAAACATCTGTGCCGGTGGGTCATGCTAAGTCCCATATGAATATGGTAATGCATAGAGTAACCACCCATGGAAACTACAAGTGATGACCGGTGCCATCCTCACAGTCCTTTCTGTGCTTGAGCTCATCATTGCAGCCACGGTGTCAATCCATCTCGTTGATGGTCTTCCCCTTTTTCGTTGACCCTCTACTTATATCCTT